TAAACACACGATAATCATAATACATACAAATTAAAGTTTACTAGAAAAGGAGACAAAAAGATTTAAACACTAAATGTTTGATTATAATATCAAACGAAAATGAATCCATCTCAACAAAGGCCCAAATTTGTGTGAATAAGAAGAAAAAAACATTATCAAATAAATATGAAAAAATAAGCTATATCTAATGAATTTTTTTTGCTCAAAGAGTATCTTAGTTTTTAATTTCCGGGTCCTAATTTTTAGTCGCATAGTTGACCCGATAAAATAGTTACAAAATTAAATATAGTTAGATAATTTTTGTAAAAATAATATATTATATAATCAACTTATCTAATACTCAAAAAACTAATCTTACATACCTTTGATGGAGGGTATTGCATTGTTGACGTGTAGTTTGAAAATGAAGGAGTCGAGAAGGTAAATGCATCATTTGACAAGAACTGAGTCCATTTATGATCATCATGATCGGACGGCTCCGAAAAAGATCCATTGGCTATTTGGGGTGTACATGTTTCCACTGGAATAGAATACCCTGGACTCTCCAAATGATCATCACATCTTCCTTCCGAGTAAAGTTCCATGCTTGAGGAGTGTTCACTAGTTACTTGATCAATCTTTGTTGTGGAGAAATGCTCTCCAATCTTGGGCACAAGTGTGTTTTTCTTGAACACCCGGCAAAGGGCATACGCATCCTAATGCATATATATAAGAAATATGGGAAATATATATGGTTAGCTTATAATAGTTATATATATTGGTTTGCTACTTACATATGTAACTAGGGTATATTTCCGAATTATCTTTTAATAAACATAATCGTAAATATATATAAGGGTCTTTGTTTTATATCTGTGTGGAAGTACTATTATTTTGTACTTTTTAGGGTAATAGAACTATATTATAATTAATGTATATATAGATGAAGATGATCATTGAAAGTAAATTACCTGCAATCCGGAAGCAGTTTCGCATTCCCTTTCATCGAGACGATATTCATGCATGACCCAATCCGTTCGAGCACCATGAGGTGCACGACCTCTATAGTACACGAGAGTTTTCTTCATTCCTACAGCTCGTGCTTGAGAATTCACCTTTCTATCCTTCCCTGTTGCTTTCCAGTACCCGGCTTTTGTTGCTCGATTCGTTCTTGATCCGTTTGGATATTTCCGATCCCTGGGACTAAAGAAATACCATTCTAGATCCTTGCTTGGTAGTAGTGACTTTCCTGCAATAATATTTCTTGCTTTGTAAAGCTTCTAAAAGATAAAAGAAAACAAAATTATGTTGATTTCACCTAATTAAAAAGAGTACTCATTCATGGAAGATATCGATTTGGACATTTCAAGACCTAAAACATTGCTTCCTGAGTTCATTTTCAGAGACGTGTACGTGCATGTATATTTCAAGATTAGGGTATTTAACTAATTATTGCGTGTGAGTTTAATTTTTTTACATGATAAAATCACACAAAACCAAATAATATATTATGTATGATGACTACAGCTCACCAACAAGTGAACTATGTGTTTGTGTGTGTGTATATACACGCGCACACACAGTCCGGTTATATATATGTATATATAAGCGCCCGATAATATCTATCTCGGGTAAGATTAACCTTTAAAAACCTGTTTAACCCAGAAAAAAAAAAAGAAAAATCGAAAGCAAAAGAGACAAAAAGCGTCTTCGTTGCTCGGACATATTTATATATATCTGTCTCTCTCTCTCTCTCTCCCTCTCTATATATATATACATGTATTATAGAGATGGCCTTTGTTTCAGATATGTCATACATTCTTTCTCAAGTCATGCTTTTTTGACTTGGATTTCCTACTGCATATCTTTGTGTCCACAACTGGAAACCCTAAAGGGTGTAGAGACCACACAGAGCTAACTATGGTGGGGTTTCCTTTTCCATTAAAAGTATTAAATAAATTCATTGCCGCATGACATTGTTTTAACGCTAAAGCTTTTTCAATTTTGACCAGTAAAGAACATTTAAGGTGTGTAATTAGACTAAACAAAATTAATCAATATACAAAATAAAATTATTAGAAAAAGAAATCCCAAGTCACCTTTCGGAAAAGATGATGGTGGGTGATCACTTACACAATATATATAGTGTTTGTCTTTTTTATTTTTGGGTGAATAATTAAGAAAAGGGTAATTTTATCTTGCTATTTATTCACACTTTTCTTTTTTAATTTTCTTGATATTTAGAGAGAGAGCAATAACTATGGTGACATCCTAATTGTATGTAAATATATATATATATATGTATATATGTATGTACACACGTATATGTTGGTTATTCTTTATTCTTTACTTCACTGAGCCTTGGTTGGATATCAAGAAAGATATTTATGTACATATTATATAATTATGGAGGAGCACAAAAGCTTGTATATCTTCTGAGAAGTACTAAAAGATAATTGTCTAATCTTATATCTAGTTAAATAGGACTGGTTATATAGTTTTTAGAATTAAAAGAAACAAAAAATGAAGAATAGAGAAGAACAGACAAAAGAGACGAGATATATACATATATATATGTGCATATATAATACGTACCCGGTAAATCCCACGGCTCACACTTGTAGAGATCAACTTCAGGGATGATCTCGAGATCAATCTTTCGGCCGTTGATCTTTCTTTTGAGATAGTAAGAAACGAGCTCCTCGTCCGTGGGATGGAATCGGAAACCAGGTGGCAATGAAACAGGAGCCATTTTCTTTCTTTTGTGTAATTTAAATCTCTTCCTCTATAATATCTATAAATTTATTCCCTCTCTGGACCTTCTTCCAGTGATATATATGTATATATATCTTCAAATGATATATATATATATATGAACAAGCGACCAGTCCCCGTACCCTGTTAAAAAAAGGAGACCAGCAGCCTAGCACGCCAACTGTACACAAGAACAACAAGAAAAAAACAACTTGATCAATCAAGTGAACAAAACCCTAATTAGCATAAACTCGTATATACATATATATACGAACAAGAAACATAAATCTCACAGCTTTCTTGAAGGGTATCTTTATATACATGTAAACCTAGATAATTTATATCTAATTATCCATAGTGTATATACGTACATACCATGATAAGGAAAACAGGAAACAGAGAAGGGAAGAAGAGGAGAGGAGAGGAGAGGAGAGAGAAAGACCTGAGGAAGAAGAAGAAGAAGATCCAAGAGAGAGAGAGAAAGAGAGAGTGAGAGAGAGAAGTTGGTGGAAATGGGTGGGTGGGTATATGAAGACAAAAAGAAAAGAAAAAGAACTAAGAGGCCAACAAAAAGCAAGTAGGGTAGGGTTTCCTACTTTTTCTTTTTCATGTGTTTCTCTTCCCATCGTTGATTCTCATTATCGTTCTCTTCAAGCTTCTCGTCTTCTCCTCTAATTCATATATTTATAATTCTAGATATATATATCTATAAAATATGTGATCAACGTATGATAAGAAGGATTGCTTTATGTCTTCAATTATCCCATGCTTCGCTTATTGTCCTTTCTAGGAATATGGGTCCCACGTGATTATACAATTCTAGTTTTATACCTTTTTCATCTCATCATGATATATATATATATATATGTATATATGTATATAATTATGTATCTTCAAGCACCCACTTAAACTATGAATCAATATTTCCCTGTCTGATTTTGGCAGCGCTATGGAATAAGTTCAATGAATGACTGAGGGCAAGAACATGTGGGTTTAATTTAACCAAGATGCTACTCAGAATCAAATACAATTACTAAAAAAATTACCAAAAATGAAAATCCCTATTGTTAGCCCATCTCTCCCACCTATATATATATATATATACATATATATAGACCAGTGAGTAAGGTTAATACATAATAATTAGCATATAACTAAAAGAATAGTTAGTTGTTAATTGTTAATTATACAAAGATTAACACTAAAACATAAACCAAAGGGGATTTTATTTATTTGTTGCTCATTATGATTGATCTTTGCTTAATTTTAGAGGAGTTCAAGCATATTGATGAATACTAAGTAAAGGGTTTTAAAGAATTGATCAATTTAAACACTATTTTATTAAATGCGTGGATATTATTTAATATGATATTAATATAATATATAAGATAAATTATCGTCATTTATGCAACTTCTCTACAAGAATAAAGGTATGAACAATTATTAGTGGATTCAGTAGAGTTAAATTATAATCCGAAAAAGTTCTTATTAGAGTTATTTGGAGTTAAAAGTTCATCACAGCAAAAGTTTCCTTGAAATTTGTGAAGAAAATTATCGCGAATTAAGAGTTTGTAGAAAGGGGTAAAGATAAGTAGAGACTATTAATGAAGCTCAAACTAAATGGTTTGAAACTCATTTTCTTTAGCAGCGGGTGTTAGGAGGCAATAGTATGTCAATTTGATAGTTACGAAGTTTCTGATCCTGACGAATTCAATATTAATTTTATTAAAAAAAATTAGAATATGTTAAAATAAAAGGTCTTGATATTCGTGCACAACTTCCAAACTAGGAAGGTATTTATGATGTTGATAATACATTGTTCAATTTTCTTCGATACTTTAGTGCAAAAGCACAATAACCCTCTATGGATTCTATATTTATCTATTTCGTGGGAAGTATATATAAGTAGAAACTCGTACGAAGCTCATACATAGTAGTAATGTTGAATTATATAAATTCTAGAAAACCAAAATAAATTTCCTTAACAAAATAATCATCATCCAAAATTTACATGCATGAACTAGCTAGCTAGAATATTGGCCGGCCGACGTGTACAATAAAGAAAGATTTGCCTTTTTGTAAGAAAGCTTATAAGCAGACATGTAAAGCCAATACTTATATATATATATATATATATATTCATTTCATGTAATTAATATATTTTCCAAAAAGAAAAAAAAAAAAGAGATTACTTAAATTTTGTTTTAACACGCAAAGAATTGATGAAAAGCTATAAATTCCACACCTTAAATTTTCTACTGCAAACTAATCATCCCACCGTATATATTATTACTATCTAAATAGCTACCTAGTGATGCCATATTTATGTGGCTTTAGAGATATGTATGTATATATATATATATATATCTATATGTGTGTGTGTGTGTGTACATGCAATTTAAAAATTTTATTGAAGAAGCATCTGGTAAAACAACAAAACGCAAAAGAAAAAGAAAAGGTTGGGGGGTGGTGGGGAATTGGAAGATGATACGACGTCGGATGGTGAGCGGAGCAGAGGGAATTGGATGAGACGACTCTACGGTGCAACAAAGTATCATGTGGGGCCAGAGAGGTGCCACGTGAATAAAAAAGCTGCCACGTGGAAGATCAGGATGACTTGCCAGTCGTTCTCAAGATCCTTTAATTTTATTTTATTATATATTTATAATAATAAATAATAAAAAATGGACGCTTTTACTTTTGGATGAATCAATGAATGTCTTTTTAATGATGATGCTTTTCTTTTTATGCAATTATCATCACCATCACAACATAAAGATTCAGTTTTTAACTTCCCATGTGACAAACAGTTTTTATCCTTATAATTAATATATATTATTATACTTTCACCCATTTTATTTCATAAATTTACGAATAATTCTCTAAATACTTTTTTAAAACAAAAAATAAAAAATAAAAAGTTCGAAGCAATTAAGATTTTTTTTTTTTTTTTTAGATATCGAATGCCGTTACTAATTCACGATATGACATGTACGTAATAAAATTATTATTTTTATTTTTGGATACAACGTAAAGAAATAAACGAAAATAAAAGTAGGATCTAGAAAGAGTACATTTTATACTAAAAAATAACACAAATGAAGTTCTTGTGCATAGTGTTAAGGAACGTTGTAAATAGATATTGCTGGGTCTGAAGGTTAAGAGGAGCCGAGAAAGTTTAATTAATCAAGTGGTCTGCGTAACGGGTACCTTTCTCTATAGACATATTAGATCTTGATGTCCTAATTAAACTCTAAATAAATATATATTGTTTGAGTCACGTGAGAATTAACATTAATATAAATAATATTTTTACTGAGTGCTCTATTCAAGATTTAAACTGCAAGACTGCTATTAAGTTTGAAGATGGCTCTGCGTGCGCCTTGATTCTAAGCAAGTTTAAGGTTATCGAGAGTCCCCTAAAGTTCCATCAGTAGTACATAACATGTATCAATATTTCTGCTGAAGCCTCCCGAATCATTTCATTATTGATTTATGATAATTTTTATGAAAGTTTTCTTTAGACGAAGTTTTATTTTTTTACAGCGTATCATAATTTTGATTTAATTTTTCTTTTTTCATAATCGATTCAATTTCTGATTTAAAAAAAAAAATGTCTTGGTTATATTTTATTTTTTTTAATAATTTTCAATAAATTATTTTGAATAATTAATAATTAAAAAATTATTACAAAAAAATATGACTAAAATCAGCAATAAAAATAATCAAAAGGGTAGTAATTGATAACTCTAAATACGATAACAATATATTAATTATAATAATAATGTAATTAAAAAAAAAATGATTAGAAGACCTAATGATGAATTAATGATTTCCCCGACGGTCTAAATGGGAAAGAAAGAAAGAAAGAAAACTTGATGTCACATGAACCCAAAACCGCAAAAGTAGAAAATAATAATAATAAATAATTAATTAATTAATTAAATTCAATATAATATATATATATATATATATATATAAAGAGAAAAGCAAAGACGTTTCTCGTTCATACGTTAATTAATTAATTAATTTTATCCCAAAAATAATATATAAATATAATCAAAGTGTATATTCTTTTGTAAGCCTTACTATTAAACCGAAAGTTGAAACGTATGGTTTAAAATATTAAGAGAAAGTAATATGTATGTATATGCATATATGGGTCAATATGAACAAAACTTTTTTGCCATAAATAAAAGGGTGTTCACATGGGGTCTCCTGCTTATTTGTTGATCCTAAAAGAAGGCTTCAATAAAGTAGAAATCCAAAGAAATCCTTTGAAAATCGGCCCCATAAGTATGTGTGTATATACATATATATCCATATAAAATTACATATTTCTTTTGTTTGATGTATTTAAAATAGCATAGGTAATTGAATTCTATGTTACTTAACTTTCAACTTATAAAACAATCGTATACAATAACGGTGTCAAGAATATTGTAATACGCTTCATCGAAGCCTTCGTACGATACATCAAAATCCACAGCCGCCCTCTGATCCAAAGGCTATGCTCGGGCCAAGATAACTCGTAAATCCGAAACAATGAACTAATCTTCTCCACGCGACGTTGTATTAAGATACGATTTGTTTCGAAGTTTTACGTGAGTAAAAATTTAGTAAACCCTGCAAGAATTTTTCCGGAACTATATTTCGAAATACCAAATACCAACCATAAAACTCAATGTTACTATACTAATTTATACTGTATAATGTGTACCAGGCTTGTAGTGAGAGAGAGAGATAGAGAGAGGGAGAAGCAGGTGGTTTTATTTTATTGCTCATCTATACAAAGAGGCATAGAAGCCAGAGACCACCAATATGAACAAACTTGAGCAAGAAGAAGAAGAAGAAGATGAAGAAGAAGAAGAAGAAGCTGTCTACCTACTTGCATTGCAGGGAATCTGTTGTGTATATATATAAATTTACCTCCATTGAAGGACCCTTAACTAAAGCAAAATCTTTGGCATTGTTCCATATGGGAACCAATGCAATTTTGATGAATCATCAAAAGAAAGCAGAGGAAGAATAATAACGAATAATTAACTTCTCATTTGATTTTGATTTGAACCAGTGTATCCATCAATACCATATTTCTGATAAACTACACCCTGATTATCCTCCCACCACTTCCCAGCTTCCTTCTCTGTGAATCGCTTGCGGCTGCAAAAACACAGGCCAAAGTTTCCAATGATTCCAAAAAATTCCAACCATATATATGTTTATAACGATGCCACAGGCAAGTGTAAGAACAGATTATTTGAGACCATCTCTTAAACGAGAAGCATATCGGAATTATTCTGGTGTTGTAATGTTAGTTGAAATTTTTAACCTTGAATCGGCCAGGAAATTACCATGCACGAATATTAACCTATGGACATGTATACATACAAGAATTGGTATAGATATCTAGTCAATAAAAGATTACCTGAATCTCACGCGCTTAAGTCCCTTCTGACCGGAAGGCAAAGTTGTGAACGTAACATATACACCAGGTTCATACTGTTCCACCCATTCCAGCTTTGAAGCTTTAGATACATTTTGCGGAGGTTCTGTTGCGGTAGCAAGTGAAGTCTCCAGAGATCTACTGTTCTCATGGCAAATGGTATTACCACGCATGGAATGCAACTTACCCGAGGAAATAATAGGAGAGAGACATGAATTGTCCGTTTGTCTTTCTTTCGGTGATTTGGCATCAGAAGGCACACGAGTAGCGACAGGCATAGGATGCTCGAGGGAAGGACTTTTTCTATCCACAAGCTTGGTTATGGGTAGACTGGCATCAGTTACATTATCCATTTGTCTTTCTTTCGGTGATTTGACATCAGAAGGCACACGAGTAGCAACAGGCATAGGATGCTCGAGGGAAGGACTTTTTCTTTCCACAAGCTTGGTTATGGGTAGACTAGCATCAGTTACATTATCCATTTTTCTTTGTTTCGGTGATTTGACATCAGAAGGCACACGAGTAGCAACAGGCATAGGGTGCTCGAGGGAAGGACTTTTTCTATCCACAAGCTTGGTTCTGGGTGAGCTGACATCAATCCCAGTTTTCGTGGAAGATACCTTCCCTTTCATGGTGTGAAGCTGCGCCAATAAAAATTCACATCAAGAACAGCTCAGAGGTATAGAACAACACATCCCATTTCCATGAGTAAATACTTCGTCGAAATGGCCATTTATGTTTGAAACTATAATAGTTACCCGTAAAGCCAAAGCCTTTATAACTTCTTTTGCAGCTTTCAACTTCGATGCTTCCTCCTTCGCCAATAACCATGTTTCCTCAATTTGACGTTGACATTCTTGAATCTTCTGGTTCCCAAGGTGACATTGTGTTTCAAGATTCCTAGCCTTTTTACAAGTAAAGATACCTTGGTGAAAATTCAATGAATCAATGTATAAACTTTGAAAGAGAAGCAGAAAACAGTATCAGCATGTACCTCAGCTTTCAGCCTCTCAACTTCTTCGGTTAGCATCTTATTTGACTCGGACAAACTTTTCTCCGCATATGGAGAATTGCATTCAGTAGCTTTTGACCCTCGAGGAAGCTTAAGAAAAGATGGCGAGTCAATGAAAGATAATTGACTTTCAGAAAGAGCGATGGACATCGCAGGCTTTCTATTGAGATGC